CCTCCTTTAGGACCATTTTCTCTTCCTGCCGAGGATGGGCCCTTGGCTCAGAAATCAGCTTCCCCAGCAGCGCCGTCCTCATCCAGGAAGGACAGCTGTCTTAATCCTCTGCGAGACAGGCCACTCCTCGTACAAGGACACAAAAAGAAGACGGGGGACACCCGAAGATACTCATGATGTGGCTCTAGACGAAATAGGGGATTGAATTTTACTCCCTCTGGCACTGACCTTTTCCCTGTTGAGACCACTTCTCACGCTCACGCTGACCAGGACATTCAGGGGCTTCAAGATCCCCCATGTTTTCCCACAATCCCTCACTGGGTATCCCCCCGACTCCCCACTCACTCCACCCCCCCCCCCCCCCCCCCCCCCACCCCCCAGGCAGCAGCACTTCCTTCTCCTGCAGACAGCTGCCTGGGCACTTTTCGCTTGTCCTGGAACTGGGACCAAATTTCTAGAGCTAAAGGCCAGCGGTGCTTGGTTCCCCATATCCCGAGACAGCTTTCAGGGACTGACAGCACAGAACTGGCCTTCCCTCACCCCGACCTTCTCTCTCCGGGCTGTAGGCGCGGCTGAGGCAGGAGACACAGGGAAAGTGTCCCTGTACTTGTGTCCCTGTACAAAGCGTGGTGTTTGGGTTAAGAAGTGAGTCCCTTCCTTCCACTGAGCCAACTGGGGGGGGGGCCTTGGAGAGAATCGCTTCTCAAGGTTGGAGCTTCCTGTCCGAAGAGGAGATGGCGGGGTGCCTTCTCAAAGTGTGCAAGCCCGGGACAACTCCGTCTGGGGGGGGCACCCTGATGAAGAAAATACAATGTGTCCTAAGGTGCAGTGCTTTGCAGCGTCCCCTGCCCCCAGTGCAGGGCTGAAGGCAACCTCCCAGGCGCAGATTCCGAGTTGGGGAGAAAGATGGTGGAGTGGGGGCAGGCCAGGCGGCAGAGCCAGCTCAGAGTCTGGGGCAGCCAGGAAAGGTCTCCCCTGGATGGCGTGGAAGTCATACAACATGGTGGGGCTGAGCTAGCTTGCTATGCTTTATTCCTGGGAGCTGTTGCCTGGCTCAGGGATCCCACTCGCAGACGCTAGGAGATGGAGGATGGAGAATGGGCACTTTAGGGGATAGAAAAAAGCCAAGGGAGGCCAAACGGTGTTCTTCCAGAAGGTCACAGCAGTGGACATTGCCTCTCAGAGGCTCCCAAGGCCGGACAGTGTAAGCCCCGGGAGCAGGGCTGCCCCAGAAAGGCGGTTAAATGGAGACATTTACCTTTCCTTCATCCTTCACTGGGCAGCCAGTGGAATGTTGGAAAGTGGAGGAAAAAGGCATGTGAATCATATAACCTTTTAACTTCCTTAACCCTGCTACTTCTATATCTGAATTTCAGACACAGGAGTATAAATTGTGGTTGGCTTGTTTAGAGTCTAATGAGACATTAAGTCTCATTTAACACCTGTAAGTTTTAACGTCTATGCAATGTACATATAAAAATAATCCTATTGTGGAATTTTAAAAGTAATTTTATATTATTTTTTGTCTCATTGCAAAACAATACGTATCTTCCATAGGCAATTTAGAAAACAAGGACAAATTTGAGTCTATGTGTGTGTGTGTGTGTGTGTGTATGTGTGTTTAATGTTACTGCAGTAACATTAAACATTAAACACTTAATATATCTATCCTCTTCAATAGGCAAGTTTTTGTTTGTTAACAGAGCAAAAGAGCAACCATTTATTTAGCTCACAGTTCTGTGGGTTGGTGATTTGGGGCTGGGCTTCCCTAGGGCAGTTCTCATCCATTTTTTTGAGAGAATATTGGTATATAACATTGTGTAAGTCTCAGGTATACAATATTGCAATTTGACATCTACACAGTGATCGCCCATCAAAATTCTAGTTACCATCCATCACCAGACAATTGACCCCCTTCACCCATTTTACCCTACCTCCACCCTCTTCCCCTTTGGTAGTCATTAATCTGTTCTCTGCATCTACGAGTTTGTTGTGTTGTTTTGTTTGTTCATTTATTTGTTTTATTTTTTTTAGATTCCACATATGAGTGAAGCCATATGGTATTGGTCTTTCTCTGTGTTATTTCACTTAGTGTCATGCCCTCAAGTTCCATCCATGTTGTCACAAATAGCAAGATCTCATTGTCTATGGCTGAGTAATACTATAGTGTGTGTGTGTGTGTGTGTGTGTGTGGTGTGTGTGTGTGTGTGGTGTGTTTATGTGTGTGTGTGTGGTGTGTGTGGTATGTGTGTGTGTGTGTGTGTGTGTGTGTACTATATCTTTATCCATTCATCCCCTGAAAGGACACTTTGGTTGCTTCCATATCTTGACTATTGTGACTAATGCTGCGAACATAGAAGTGCATATATCTTTTTGGTTTAGTGTTTTTGTTTTCTTCAGATAAATAACCAGAAGCAGAATAGTTAGATCATACAGTAATTCTCTTCTGAACTGTTTGAGGAATCTCCATACAGTTTCCCACAGTGGCTGCACCAATTTACATTCCCACCAAGAGGGCATGAGGGCCACTTTTTCCACACATCCTCACCAACACTTGTTATTTCTTGACTTTTTGATAATAACTGTTCTAACAGGTATAAAGTGATAGCTCACTGGGGTTTTGCTTTGCATTTCTTTAATAATTAATGATGTTAAGCATCATTTTCTTAAAGATGCTTAGAACTTTTCTGGTCTGTTGGCCATCTGTATGTCTCCTTTGGAAAAAATATCTATTTAGATCTTCTGTGCATTTTTTATATGGGGTTATTTTAAAACAGGTAAGTTTTTCCAAAAAGCTAAGTATGAACTGAAAGCAATAAACAGGGCTATTTTTGTGCTGGACGTCTCAGAGATGGGGGTGGTCTCACTGCTTCCCGACCAGAGCGATCACTGTTTGCAGTTAGTTTGTGAGAGGGGATTTCCTTCGGAGGCCTGAAGTCATGGCATCTATGGACCTGAAATCATTTTTCCTAGCTCTTAGTGAGCCTAGGACGGGTAGCCGTGGAGGGCATTGGGTCAGGGCAGCAGGAAGGTGGGACAGCAAAGGCAAGGCAAGCCCAGGATAGAAGGCAGAAGGTAGATCTGGGGCTACGGGCCTCTGACGGGGCTGCTTAGAATTCTCCCGGAAAGCAGAGTGGGAGGCCAGGGGTATGAAAGGCTATGGGTCAAACTAGGCAGGGGGTCTGCAATCATATTTCCTCTCTCTTTGATCTCCTCCTATGTGCCAGCCACTGGTCACACGCTGGTGGCAGAGATGACCAAAGTTCCACACCAGTCCCCCAAAACCAACAGTCCAGGGGCAAGGACGGTGGGAGTGAAGCATTCATTAAAATGAATCAGCTCCATTAGAGAAGTTGGAACCAGGTGCTGCAAGAGGTCGAGGGGCAGGAAGTGTGCAGGGAGCCTCGCCCAGGGGGTGGCGCCTGAGTTGAATAGGGGTTGGCAGATAGAGGGGACAGCTTGCACGGGGCGGGAGGCACAGCCGAGCGTGGGCCGATGGGCGGGTGAGCAGCTCAGGGAGGGGCGTGTCAGCATTTGGGGAAGAGAAGCAGGAAGTTCTAAAAGTCAGAGTTGATTTTGCTCTAATTAGCTGTCGGGTTTTGTTCTGATTAGCTGTCCCAGAATGGGCTGACACGGGCTCTGTAGTCAGGCCAGTTAAGACTCGACTGTTCGCTCTGGTCTGTGCAAAGCAGTTTGGTCGCAGGCAGGCTCCCCTCGCTGAGCCTTCCTTGCCCGCCTGTACACAAAGGGGTCAGACCCGAGTCTTCAGGCTGTGCTAAGGACCAAGGGAGGAGACCAGCATGAGAGCACTTCTCTGCCAGGGGCCCGGGAAGCCATGGCTTCCTTCTACCCTGCCTGAAAGCCCGACTCTCCCAGGAGACACAGCCTGCCGCATGCCCAGCTGGAGGCTTCACACTCCATCTTCTGAGGGCCACATGGTGTCACTTCTTTGCTACCAGCCTGGAGCCTGTGACAGCGGAGTTCAGTTGAGCCCGGGAGGGGTGTGGAGTTTGGAACAACACCAACCCCGTGTTTGTGTTCCGGGAGAGGCCTTTCCGGCAAAGCGGCCCACACAGTCCTGTGAGCTCAGGACACTGGGGGCAGCTCCAAATGAAACCTGGCAGAAGGTCTCACCAGATAAGCTCCAGCCCTTGTCATCCCCCTGGATAGTGACCACTGCAGGGTGCCCTCGTCCGCCACCGACAGAACCCTCTGTCCTCGGTCAGAGCGTGATGGTGGAATTGTGTCCCCCCGCCTAATTCACATGCCACAGACCTGACCCCCAGCCCCTCAGATTATAACTGCATTTGGAACTAGGGTCTTTAAAGGGGGTATTTAAGTTGAAATGAGGTCATTAGCATGGGCCCTAATTTAATAGACCCGGAGTTCTTCCAAGAAGAGGAGATTAGGACATAGAGGCACACAGAGGGAGGGCCATGTGAGGACACAGGCAGAAGATGGCCACCCGCACGCCAAGGCCAACCCCACCAACACCTTGGTCTCAGACTTCCAGCCTCCAGAATGGGCAACAATAAATATTCATTGTTGAAGCCCCCCTCCCCACAGGTGGTACTCTGTTAAGGCACTCCCAGGCAGCAAATACGCCATCTGTCCGTCTTCACTCCCCCTTTCCACTGTTCTTGTCGACAAAGACCAAACCCAACACACTTTGCCAGGGCTCTTGCGTCCATGCTGTGTCCCAGGTCCCTGCACCTGCCAGCCACGGGTGGCCAGTGTTCTTCTGTGGGAAAGGCATTCCTTCCCGTGCGCTCACACCCTCAGCACGAATGGCCCCTTCCACGACCGCTTCAACCCCACAGCTCTCCCTTCCCCGAACCCCTGTCATCTGGGAGCCTTAATGCTTTCTCCTTGCTTCCTGCATGGTGAACTTGTGGCCTCAGTGCGAGGACAGCCGTTCCGTGGCTGGAGGAGGTGGCAGCCTGGTTCAGCGTCAGAGTCACCTGTCGACCAACCAAAGACCAAAGAGCAAGCCGTGACGTGAAAGACGTCTGTCTGCTGGGGTGTCAGGGATCGCCGTCCAAGAGGCACACACTCGGAAGCATGCTCTGGAGAGACAAAGGAGGTTGGAGTTTCTCGAGAGGAAAGAGGGAATTTACGTAAGTTGTTTTGAACGGAATGTGGTTGGTGCTGCTGTAGCTACAGTTACACTAATCTCGGTGTGATTGGTTGCTAGGGCCAGTGTTAGGCAGAAAGTCCATTTAGGCTCATTTTGTGATAGAGTAGATGTGTTGGCTTTTAGCTGAGTTCAGCAAAAATTCCAAGAATTTGAGATAGAAGGCACGCCCACCTCCTCAATGCCCTCCCTCTTGGCAACGCTCACTGTCTCTTATTCTCTATGTTGTCACACGCAGAGCTGTTTGAGTCTTAGCTCCAACTTCCTGGCTCTACTGCCTTGAGCTCTGGTTTCCTTACCTGTGTTGCTATAGGGAAGGCATCCTTACTTAGCGGGCCCTATGCATTCAGTAGGGTTGGCCCTTTGGCCAACCAGATCAACCCCAGCCTGAAATCCATGGCTCCTTTCTTGGCCCACAGTGGGAGAGGTCATGATTCCATGTTGTACCATCCAGTGCCACCACTGGAACCCCAAGTGGGCTCCCTGGTCCTGGGGTCCCACGTCTGCCAGCCTGAACTCACTTTTGTCCTCTGTGGTAGATGTCCAGCCCACTGCCATTTGTGGGCTAGTTCAGGACCCCGACCCACTGAGGCTGTGCCTTCACACGGTGCTGTTACCTGGCAGGCTTGCACAAGAGGCCAGGGACAACGAGGCGTTTGTCTTACTTCTGCAGACCCAGAGGTACTGTCCTTGTTGTAACGGCCACACGTACAGCGGAGTATGCCGACTTCCTTTTTTCCTCAGACACCATTTCTATGGGGTTAAAGCAGAACAGCTCTGCCTCTAGGACTCTCAGAAAGCACCGACAGCCAAGATTTAGCTGCAAACTGTAGAGCAAGGGCCAAAAACCTTGTCTGTAGAGACTGCTGAGCACCAAACAGGTGTGTGAGCTGAAATTGGGGAGGGGTGTAATTATGTCAGAGGTAACGAAAGTAACCAGACTAAAGATAAAGGGAAAGCATATTGATAAAAAATAAATAAATAAATAAACCCTATGAGTTTTCATAGGGGTCGATTATAATTCCTTTTATTTGAATTCAGAAATCTTTCCCAAGCACAGCTAAATTTTTTCTTGAACAGTCTATGACAGTCCCTTGCTACAGGACGTTAAAAGGGCAACTTTTTCATGGCCAATTAAGGAGTATCATCAGGATGGCCAGTATCAAGACAGAACAGCCCCTAGGGTTGGCCGCCTGCACTGACTTTACCCATGAGCATCAGCCAACCAAGAACTGAAGTTTCTGTAATGGGACATTTAAAAAATAGCCCTTCTCAGCCTTTCTGTCTGCTGTGATTTACTATTGATTCAGGAGCAGGAGACCAATTCCCTTTGGGAAATGTGGTGTGGTGGTACTTTGGGCTCTTTTCAGAGGTGGGTCCAGTCGGTCTTGTATCCAGGTGTGAACTATGAGGAAAATCTATACAAGCCAAACCGAAATCTTAGCGTCGCCCCTTTGTTGAGGTGTACAGGATAACAGAGCTCAGACTGTGGTGCGGATAAGCAGGTTTAAGGACAATGCCTCACCAAACGGACCTCTCCTATAGCACCCCCCCCAGCTCCCATGGGCTCCATGGCCCTGCTCACTGCTGGGGAGTCGACACCAGCAACTCTATGAAGTTTCTGGGGCTTGGAGCAGGAAAAAACTATGGGGACCCTCTTTAAGAAAAAGAGCCAAAGTTATCTTAATTTGACAAATTTTCCTAAAACATAGGGGCATGTGAACACTTGGTGGGGGTCCACCCTCTGATGTTGGAAGGGGGCTGAGGCTCCTGGGCTCTCAGGAGTGCTGGTGGCCACGTGTTCCCAGGCAAATCCCAGGGCCACCATTACCCCTTGGGCTGGGGTATCCTTCCTTCCCCAGCTTCCTTCCCCACCTTCATTCCTTCTCCAGACTTTAGTGTCAGACACAAAGAGAAGCTCTGCTATGTCCTCCGGGCCTCAGTTTGCTCTTCTCTTTAAGTGAGGGCTTAGGATGTTATCTTCAGAAAGTGTCTGGAACATTCTCTGCTCTCAATAAACCTTCGTTATTCTGTGCCTATTTCTCAGACCTCTTGCCCGAATTCTTGACCACTCAGCTCTGGTTTCTATGTCTGATTCCAGCACAAAAATTACAGCTAAGATTTATAAGAAGAATCCTTCCCCCTGAGGGGGGAAAACAGCTACCAGAAGAGACCAGGAACCATGAGAAGCATGAATGTTGGGACGCGCCAAGGATGACATTGTCTTGTCTATCACAGTAGACTTGTCTATCACAGTAAACAACCCAACCCAACTTAAATTTTAAATATCCACCTAGAGGGGATTGGTAAAATGGAAGTATCATGATTCAGCAGAATACGCTAAACTCATTTTAGATGACATCAACAGATTTCCATAACACCTCGCTAAGTGACTAATACAGACCATGGAACTGTATTTACAGTGGGACTTTGTTTTTGCAAAATGAACTAACATACTTTCCACACACACAGAAGCAGACCCGTTGTCTTACAAACGTTACCCGTGGTGATCTCAGGATGGTGAAGAGGGGTCCATTTTCTTGTATCGCTTTCCTGCATTTCCTACAAGACCACTGCCCAGCAGGTGCCCCAGGCACACCCAGGCCCCCTCTTTTCTCGAGCCCACTCCTTTGAGCTGACAATCAATTTTCATCCTTGAGTGGTGCGCTATTGCAGGGCTCACACTAGTGAATTTAGAAACAGCACGCGCCTCCAGCCAGTTATCACTGTGACGCTAGAAGAATTATTACTTTCTCCATCTTGGGGCTCTGACGGTTCTTCAGGAAATTGAGCTGGAAGTTTAATAATAAGTGTCTTTGTGAACGGCATTTTTATTGGAACTTGAGCCTTTGATTTCAGAGATGTGAAGCACACTGTTCCACTGAGTAGGGAGCTTTCTTGGACCATTATAGTCGTCAAATTTAGCTCAAACAGGAGTGTCTGTACGGACCACCTATACAGGTGATGTAAACGTCAGGTGCTCCCCATTCCAGCTCCCCGTGTCCAGGGGGCTCCATGGTGTGTGAGGCAGCCAGCTTCCTAAGGAACCATCCGTTTCATCTGTGCAATTGTATTTCTGAACAACAGCCTGTAGAGTAGCTGAGAAAGAATGGTCAAAAAATACCCAAGAACAGTGATTGAAATGGTTTCTAAGGATTTCTAATGTTTCTATTCTGTGATTCCGTTTTACCAATAATAATGTTAAGCAAAAGCATATCTTTCGTATTTAATTTCGTGGTTTTACAAACTACTCTGTAAAAACTGTAAACACAATTCTGTTGATACAGAATTCATATGACCATACAACGCACCCATTTGAAGTGTACAGTTTGGTAGTTTTCATAAAGTCTCAAGGCTGTGCAACTGTAACCACGATCTAATTTTAGAACAATTTTTTTCACCCCTAAAAGAAACTCCAAAACTGTCAGCAGTCACTTGCCATTACCCACTCCTAACCTTTATCCCTGGATTAGGTCACCACTAGCCTACTTGCTGTCTCTATAGATTTGCCGGACACCACATATGAAGGGTATCATCCAGCCCAGGGCCTTTTGTGACTGGCTTCTTCCACGTAAGCACAAAATGTTTTCAAGGTTCTCCATGTTACAATGTGTATCAGCTCTTCACTCCCTTTTATAGCTGAAAAATACTCCATTGAATGAATATACCACATTGCACTTGTCCGTGATGCTTTATGGCTATTTTAAATAAGGCCACGGTGATCATTCAGATACAAGTGTTTTGTAGGGAGATGTTTTCATTTCTCTTGGATGTATCCCTAGGAGTGGAGTTGCTGGATCATACAGTTGCTGTACAGTGTCCATTTCGAGGAACCACCAACATGTTTTTCAAAGGGGCTGCTCCATTTTCCATTTTCACCGGCAGTGAACAAGTGTTCCAATTTCTCTACATCCTCGTCAACACTTATGATTGCCTTAAAAAAAAATCATAGCCATTGTTTGGTTTTCCAAATAACAACCAATGCTCCAGTTTTCTGACTTCAGTGTCCTATAATTCAACTCAATTCTGACACTATCTATCTAGAGTTAGTGTAGACCCCACAGGTTTAAGGGCTCAGTCCCACCAGACTACCACTGGCTCAGACACCAGAGGAAAATAGGGTCCCCAGGCTACCTGAACTTCTGCCCAACTGTCTACACATTTGGGGTTTCCCGTGACCACACCTTAGGTTCAATAATGGGCTAGAATGATTCACAAGACTCGGGAAAGCTCTGTATTTATGATCACATTTTTATTAAAAAAAAATACAGCTTAAGGGCGGCCAAATGGAAGCAATACATAGACAAAGTATGGGCATAAGGGCACAGTGCCTTCATGCTCTCTCCAGGCAAGCCATGCCCCCAGCCTGTCAATGGGGTTCACCAACCCGGAAGTTCTCTTAGTTTCTTTGTTTGAGTGTTTTTAAGCCAAATTTCCATTGAATGAATACCCACAACGGATTAAATCATTGGCCATTGGTGACTGCATTCAATCTCTCTCCTCCCTGCAGGACCAGGAGGGACCTCAATAGCCCTAATCCTCTAATCATGTGGTTGGTTCCTCTAGGAACAAGCCTGTATCCTGAGGCTATCTGGGGGTCCACAGAGAGTCACTACCACAACAAAAACTCAGGTGTGGTCATAAGGAGATCATTATGAATAACAAAAGAAACTCCTGTCACTTGGGAAATTCCAAAGATTTTAGGAACCCTGTGCCAAGAACTGGGGAAAAGAACAAGTATATATTTTTAATTTTACCCCAGCCATTCTGCTGGGTATAAAGTGTTATCTACTGTGCTTTTGATTTGTGGTTCTCTAATGACTAATGATGTGGAGTATCTTTTCAATCGTTTATTGGTCAACTGCTGATCTCTTTATGGAGAGCTATTCAGAATCTTCGCCCATTTTTTATTGGGTTATTGGTCTTCTGATTATTGAGTTATAATAGTTCTTTATATATTCTGGATATATAGACTTGCAAATAGTTTCTCTCAGGCTCCGGGTGGTCTTTTCATTTCCTTGATATTTGTTCTCTGCAATACAGCATTTTTAATCTTCATAAAGTCCAATTTTTCTATTGTTTCCTTTTTTGGCTTGTGCTTTTGGTGTCGTATCTAAGAAAATATTGCCTAACCCAAGTTACAAAGATTGACTCCTTTGTTTTCATCCAAGAGTTTTACGGTTTTAGCTCTTACATTTAGGTCGATAATCCATTTTGAGTTAGTTTATGCGTATTGTTGTGAGAAAGAGGTACAAATTCATTCTTTTGCATGTGGATATATAGCTGTCCCTGTGTAGCTGAAAAGTTTATTCTTTCCCATTGAATGGTCTTGCACCCTTGCCAAAAATCAATTGACCATAAATGTAAAGGTCTGTTTTTTAGACTCTCGCTTCTGTTCCATCGATGGGTATGATTGCTAGTACCACGGTCTTGGTTGTTGTAGCTTTGTAGTAAAATTTGAAGTCAGAAAGTGTGAGCCCTTCTGCTTTGTTCTTTTTCTCTGTTGTTTTTGGGTCTTCTGCATCCCTTGCATTTCCATACACATTTTAGGATCAGCTTGTTATTTTCCACAAAAATCCAGTTGGGATTTTTTAAAAAAAAATTATTTATTTATTTGACAGAGAGAGAGAGAGCACATGTAGGCAGAGAGGCAGGCAGAGAGAGGGGGGGAAGCAGGCTCCCTGCTGAGCAGAGAGCATGATGCGGGGCTTGATCCCAGGACCCTGAGATCATGACCTGAGCCAAAGGCAGAGGTTTTAACCCACTGAACCACCCAGGCACCTCTTGTTGGGATTTTGATAGAGAGTGTTTTGAATCCGTAGATGAACTATTCCAATCTCTGACCATAGCATGCCCTCCCATCTATTTAGATCATTCCTTCCAATGGTTTGGAGTTTTCAGTGTACAGGTTTTGCTCTTCTTTTTATTGAAGTTATCCCTATTTTTTTTCTTTTTCATGCAATTGTAAATGATATTTTGTTTTCTTAATTTTATTTTGAGTTATTTATTACTAGTATTTAGAAATACAATAGATTTTTGTATATTGGTTTGTATCCTGCAACTTTGCTGAACTTCTTTATTAGTTCTAAGAGGTTTTTTTTTTTTTTTTTGTGGATTCTTTAGTATTGCTAGTACCTTTATATACATTATCTCATTTAATCAACAGAAGAGGACTGTAACCCGTGAAGGACAGACATTAATCTCACAATCTTACAGGTGAGGGAACTGAGGCTTGGAGTAGCAAATAACTTGCCTTAGATCCCAGTGTTAATAAATGGCAGAACCTTGACTGATTCTCAGGACAGGGTCTGAAGACAGGGCAGACTGACCACAGAGTCGATTTTCTCACTGTCCCAAAACTCTAAAAGAAAAAAAACTATAACCCGCAAGAAAAAAGAGGTTGGGAAAATTGACAATAGCTGATAAGAAGTGCTAACATATTTTTTCTGGTTGGAAAGTATGGCAGTTACTAACAGGAATAGAAACATCCTTAGGGGGTGCTTGGGTGGCTCAGTGGGTTAAAGCCTCTGCCTTTGGCTCAGGTCATGATCTCAGGGTCCTGGGATGGAGCCCTACATCGGGCTTTCTGCTCGGCAGGGAGCCTGCTTCCCCCTCTCTTTCTGCCTTCCTCTCTGCCTACTTGTGATCTCTGTCAAATAAATAAATAAAATCTTAAAAAAAAAAAAAGATCCTTAGCTTGAGTGTCTAAGGCAGAGTTTAAGAAATTAGTGTGCTTAGAAGAACACTTATACAAACATGGAATGGAATGATTTGCCCAAGTTCTGAAAAAGCCTCAGGACTTGGAAAGTGCAAAATCCTGTAGAAAACAGGGGTGAGGTTTGGCACGGGGATTATGCTATCTGGATACGTACAGGTAAATCTGTACACCTGCCCTAGCATCTGCCGTCCAGTGTCTCTCGGTCCACCTGGGAACAGATAGTTGGTTTACCCTCTGGAAAAGCTGACTGGGGACACTGGAGAGAGTAAGGAGTGGCAGGTGATACGGAGGAAGCAGATAAATGGTGGCACCTCACGCGGGTCATTCTCGATAGCTGGCGGCCAGACTTGCATTCTGCTCGCCCTGCAATCTCTAAGCAGGAGAATAGAGGAGAGGACCTCTCTCAAGTTAGATGGTTGCTGACACTTGGGGTCCCCTCTTGTTGAAAACATGGACTGTCACCAGTCAACTTGTGGAGAGTGTCAAAGGCCTTCCCCACATAATACGAATTGTGGTCAGCTTTTTGTTGTCTGAATTTTTAATATAAAATGGTATTTGAGGGAAGTCTTCAATATCAAAAAGGGAGAGAAATATGAAAAAGGAGCCCGGAGGAAATGTAGATAATGCAAGAGGCAGAAAACTAAAAAACAAAAACAAAAACAAAAAACCCAAAACCTCTTAATATCTTCCGGGAATATGAAAGACCTCTTGGAAACTAAAACCAAGATATGAAAAATAGAAAATAAATGTAAAGCCTTCATTAGCAAGATTGGAGGATGAACTTGAAAATAAGATCCCAAGGAATTGAAATGGGACAACAAAACAAAACTGTGGCAAAAAGAAAAGGAGAGATTAGAAAGGAACAATCTAGGAGTCTCAATGTCTGAAGAAGAGAAACTAGAGAGAGAGAGATCTGCACAGAGAATCTGGTGAAGAGGAAATTTTTAAAGCCATGATATTTGGGACTGAGGGAGAGAAGCTTTAATTGGGAAGGGGACACAGGCCACCCGTAATAATGGACCTCTAAGAAAGTGGGTGGCTCCGTCAGCTAAGCATCAGACTCTTGGTTTCGGCTCAGGTCGTGATCTCAGGGTCGTGGGATCGAGCCCCGCATTGGGCTCTGCGCTCAGTGGGGAGTCTGCTTCAGATTCTCTCTCTCCTTCTCCCACTGCCCCTCCCCCCAAAATAAATAAATAAATCTTAAGAAAAAAAGTGTCACATCATCATTTAGAACTACTAGGAGTAAGGAGGAAACTTCTAAAAGATTCCAGGTATGATGTGTACATGTGTGTTGATATATAAAGGGTTTTTTTTACATCAGAACAGCACTGAACTTCTTAACAGCACAACTGAAAGATAGAAGATGATGATACAACGCCTTTAATATTCTGAGGGACAATGACTTTGAGCCACAATTCTACCCTCAGGCGAACTATTAATCAAGAGCAAGGGTAAGAGAAAGACATTTTCCGAAAACCAAAAACTCAAGTATTTTACCTCCAATGTACTTTCCTTAGGAAGATGTGCTTCAGCCAAAGAAGGAAATTAATCGAGAAGGAGGAAGATGGCACCTAGATAACAGATGATTCAACAAAGGGAATGGCCAAGGGACATCTCAGGGTAATATTCAGCTTCCAGACTGTCACGGGGGTTTGGAGTTCTCTGGGAGGAATTCTCCAGCAGGAGCCCAAAATGGAATCTCTGTATTTGAGTACACATAAGTAATGTTATTGATTTTGAATTCTTTTGGGGTAAAGGGAAGTAATAATTAAAACACAGAAAAATGGAAAACCAAACAACAAAGCAAGGATTAACTCCAGAAAGAAAGAGAGGACGGTAGAAGAAAGGAGGTGGCGTCGCCATAGACTTTTTGGCTTAATAAGGCATCGTATTCGGAGTCGTAGTATTGTAAACACCGCTTATTAACTTAGGAATTGTGACCCAACTCTTGGGAGATGTGTCAAGATTGGGGTGGGAGGTGGAGAAGGAACACTAAATCCTTCTCTCCCTCAGCAAGAAGTCAGCTGTGTCTAAATTGGGCGAATTAGGATTTAGCACTATATGCATATTAGAAATGAAGAGGTTAAAAGCAAGGGGAAAAGCTAGGTGATTTGAGAGGGCTTGCCTCTGAGGAGGGGCCGGGGAGATGATGAAGGGCAGGGCACTGACACTTTGTGTAGTGTTGGTACCATTTGACTTTGAAAACTACGCACATGTGTTTACACAGAGAGAGACAGAGGGGGTGGGGTAAACTTTGGGTCCATGTCTTTCCACCGTATCACAAGACTGAACCAGTTCCCTTTTCGATGTGCAACTTTCTAAGTTTCCTCTCCCAGTGTTTCTAGAGAACGGGGTGCTCTCCTCCGTCTGCCACCCGTGCAGCAGGCCGCATAGGACCCTTGAAACCTCTACTTCCTTCCCTCGGATCCTCGCAGGGGGCCCGGTTCCGGGTCTCATGGGGGGCCCAGTTCTGGGGGTCATGGTTCCTGGGGGCAGACTCCGTTAGAGCATGAAGGCTGATCTGGCTTCCTGCTTTCCCTAGAAGGCATCTGGTTTCCTGGTAAGGAGGTTTTTCTGGCTCCCCCTTTGGCTACACTTGGAAAATAGAGTTGTGGCTACAAAGTCTAACATGAACAATTTAAACTCTGAGTGAGCCTCTGTGTTTCTGCTTAGGTAGCTGTGGAGAGACCCACTGTGGGAAGCTGCTGGAAGCCCAGGACTCAGGACCCCTGTGCACATGAGCTGGCCTCACCCTGGTGGGCGCTTGGACTGCCAACGAGGGACACAGGCTGGTGGAGGGACTAGAGGAGGTCTTAGCGGCCAATGACATGCCTGGTTTGTTGGGTTTTGGGAAAGCCAGCTGGGCTCAGAATCAGCCTGGTGGGTTTGTCTGGATTGTCCCCAGGGCAAGAGGACTGAGCCGACCCTCAGTGGTCACAGAGCAAAGCTGACCTGTATCAGGCAAACCAATCTGTCCCCCTCACCGCCTACCGGCCCAGCCACCCTGTTGGTGCTCACATTTGAGGACTGACATCTGGGCACAGCCAGAGTTGTTTTACTTCCTGTCTTACAGGTGGCTTCCTTGACACGGATGGACCTCTTAAATGGTCACCCATGCTGTCTGGGCTTCTCTCAATTGAATGGGACTAATTCAGCTCCTACATCTTAGAGATTCCGGATAAAGCCTCCACTGCTCCTAAGAGGTAGCTTTCTCAACATGTTTTCTTTTCTTTTCTTTTTTTTTTTTTTTAAAGTTTTTGCTTATTTATTTGACAGACAGAAATCACAAGTAGGCAGAGAGGCAGGCAGAGAGAGAGAGAGGGGGAAGCAGGCTCCCCACCGAGCAGAGAGCCCAATGCGGGGCTTGATCCCAGAACCCTGAGATCATGACCTGAGCCGAAGGCAGAGGCTTTACCCACTGAGCCACCCAGGCGCCCCATGTGTTTTCTTTCTAAATGAAGCACAACTAGACATTTTTTCGAGATCCAAGAAACAAAATGGAACCTCCCTATGACCTCCAAGAGCCAGCCCTGCTCCTTCAAAATGTGTCAGCCCACATAATAAGAAAAGAAACTCTCTTCCAGCTCCAGCAAAGGCCAAATACATAGTCATAAACGGACACTGAGCAAGACATTCTCTCATGATATAATCAGGAAGCATCTCGTATTTGGATTCTACTGTCCTTTTAGCACATATTCACTGGTGGAATGGGGTGTCCCCTGAATTTTCTGCCAATTCTCAAATAACAACAAGCCCCATTGTTACGTGAAGTCCCAAACACGGTTTCACTTCAGAACTTGGAATACACAGTCCCACGTAAGAACAAAAAATTCCAACTTCAGTCAAATTGTTAGCTCCTGCTAACAAGGACCTAACAAGGTCCTGCCCTGGTCTGGGAGTTTAGAGTGAGGAAGGGTAGGCTGCAGTTCTTCTAGGTGGACAGACCCTCTCCCATCCCGTCGTCCCTCCCGGGCCCCTGGAAGAGACAGGTCTTTGTACAGGAAGCCCACACCGAGGTGGTAGGTGGGAGAAGCCCCTTCCTCCACCTCCAGCCCCCGCTCTCTCTGGACTTACTCCATTTGTCTCTGCTCTTCCCAGGTCCCAACCCCACAGACAGAGAATAACATATGTCCCCCGCACCACTTCCCATCCTCTCCCAGGAGGGCTCAACCTTGGATGCTTCTCTAGACCAGGCGTTGGGCACATCCTGCCCCAGGCCTAAGTGTCCATTGCCGGGACGAGATGGGCAGATTTAACACAAGTGCTTCTTGTTCTCTGGCGCTGAGGAGGCCCCTCCACAAAGCCCCGACAGGCGGTTCTGTTTGCAGTCGCCGGTCCTCAGCAACCTCCCTCCTCCACCCCCTGGGCTCCCGCCAGCTGAAAAAGAGGCCCAGGGAAAGCAGCTTCATGGCACACTCCGGCTAAGCCGGCTCTGAGGGCTCAGCCCAGGCCCGAGGCCAACAAGGGGTTTCCAGCCATCTCTGGTCTCCTGTGGAAAAAGCCAAGTGGATGCTTTTGCCCAGACAGTTGCTCAACCCACCACGGTCGCTCCCCACATAGCGGAGCAGGGAGCACGCAGAGAGACAGTGGTGGGCTTTCGGGCTCTGCCTGCTTACGTGGACGTGGGATTCCTACCTGTCACCAGACAAACCACTCTTCCTGCCGTGGGAGGGAGCCTGTAAGAGAGAGGCCCTGAGAGGGACGGGAAACGTTAGTCTCCAGGGAGCTCCCTTCTCAGCTCCTCCCTGGGAAGGTGCTGGTTCCCCTCCCTGTGGGACAAGGCTGCCCTTGGTCTTACATCCAGGCCCCCCTTTCCCAGCACCCCGCTCCTGGAGTTCTCCCTGGACTCCAACCCATGTGATGGGATCCAGGCCCTCCTCTGGGGCTTCCCCTTCTGGATGGAACCCCTGCAACCATGATCTCTGCCCTTCTGGTTCCCGAGTGTCTTCTTGCTGCTGGACCCCCGCTGGAGCTTGTCACCCTGAAGGGTTGTTTGACACTGGCCGCTTCTGATTTGGACAGACTGTGGTGTCCCTGAGCCTCTGCAACACCGGAGCTGCCTGGGCATCCGTTCTGGGGCCCGCATCCATGTGGGTCCCAGGATCCGGTGAGACATCCCTTGTCCTGGCTCTTCCGGGAGCTGGCTGCCCATAAGTGCCCTGTTTCTGTCCCACTAACCATGCCATGAAGGAGTCTGGCCAAGCTATAACAGTTCTCTTGCTTTTTGAACCCCTTTTCTTACTTCTTTTTCTTCTTTGCTTTCTTTTGAATCCCCTGTGTCTTCCAGGGTCGCCCATAGTCAGGGATGCTAATCTTCAGGGCTGGGAGAGAGGGAGGAAAGGGGATAGATCAGTGGAAGAAGTGGCTAATCTGAAGTCAGAAGGTATTACTGAGCACCTGCTCTGGGTGAGACATTGCACAAGCTTTTGTGGGAGACGCAAAGGAGAGTTTGCTTTAAGGAGATCATATTCTAAAAGCACTAGGATGCATGGGATCCCGTAGATAACGCTCTCTCTGACACCCGGCTCCGGTTCATGGTGTCTGTACCTTCACTACGTACTGAAAAACAGGATTAACTCGTGGTCCTCCTATAGACTGGGGTCCTCTCGGAGTCGGGGAGTCCCAAGCTTGGGTCTGTGCCCAGCTGCTGTCCGTCCCGGCCACAGCAGCTGGGTGGTTCTACCCTACCGTCATTGCATGCCCAGCCTCCCATTCACTTCTGAAGTCGGTCAGTTGCCTCTGTTTTCCAATACAGGAAGTTGGGGGCTCAGGTTGTCCTTGACACCCACTGTCCTTGCTCCCACTTGGCTTTACCTACAGCCCAACATTTCCCTCCAAAAGTCCTACAAAGCTGGGAGCACCTGCCTTCTGGTTAGAAGCCATGGGACACTTCCTTGGTCCAGTATTGGGTTGGAGAGACCAGCTGAGCATTATTTCTCCCGTGACCAAGCAAAAGAGAAGTGATTACGACCCTCGAAATCATCCTCGTGGGCTTAGGAGCAATGTTATTGACTTCAAGAATGGAATGGTCATTGCTATTTACCGGGTGTGTCATCATAAAGGTGGTAATGAGGGTATGTATCTACCCTCCAGGCAGCTCCCCTTGGCAGCCAGAGGGGAACCCAGGAAAATAGATGGCATGAGATAAGGGGAGTAGAGATGCTGTGTAAGCTGTGAAACCGTATATACATCAAGGGTTATTGTAGCAAAGGGTAGCCTTCATCTTTTCGTGTTTACCTTTTCTCTCCTGGCTTGGGAAAAATGGATTTTTATTGTATGAATGATCTAGAAGTTTTTTAGATACAAGACCAGGTGATCGGCAGGGTAGGAAGTGAAGGCAAGATGCGGCTTTATTGCAGGAGCTTAGTAATATTGTTTGTTAGAGGATTACACGGAGCAAAAGAGGTGCTTCTCGAGAGGCACAGGCACGGGCTCGAAAGCCTTACCGCCCCAGCCCTTGCCAGGCAGATGCCCCCCCGCTAAGCAGAAGATGCTGTTCGCTGGTCTGGACGCCAGGCATCCTCGCGGCGCCCAGACGAGCTGCGGATCGCGGGCCCTGGCTGATGTGGCAAAGAGCAAACCACGAGTACATTAATCAGTACAGAAATGTGTTTGAAATTCTAATTTAAATTTAAAAATAGAACAAGAGAGAAAATTCCCAGTTTCTGTTGCTTGTTGGTTTGAACGAGTACCCCTACTTGGTAGTTCTGTCGTGTGCCCCCCGCCCAACCTTCCCCGGGCTTATGGGCACTACATTTTTCAGTTAAAAGATTTCAGTTTGGCTCTCCAAAATCTCATAAAGATAATTGGTTTTAGAAACGAACAACTCCTAAAAGGAGAGTTTAGACCCTTAAGGTGGCTTCCAGCATTGTTATCATTAGCTGGTGTTTACTGGGCTCAGGATTGTGACCAGCCCTCGCTGGAAGCCCATCAGGAGGTCTCTGACAAGTCTCTTACCAATACTTCCAAAGGGGTGGGGCTATTTCATACCTTTTCACTATTTTGTGCTACTTAGAACAATTTCAAAGATGGGAAAAACTAAAGCTAATCGCCACACCCAGAGCCCCAGGGTTCGTGAGTGACAGAGCCCGTGACGGCCTTGGGCCAGGCCACAGAGCCTGAAGGATTGACCTGTTGCCACCGATGTGGCAGAGGGCTGTGCTCGGCCCACATCACAGTGTCCCTGGGACGTGGCGCTGAGCTCTAGGCTACATATGTTCGGGGAGTTTTTGATCAGTAGAGTGAATTTATAGGAGCGGTGTGGGAGAACCGAAGTCAGGCAGTATCTGTAGAGCTATCTTGGGATGCTTGTTTCAGAGAAGGTTTCTCAACAGCGGCATTTTTGACACGTGGGGCTGGACTTTTCTTTGTTACGAGGTATGTCCTGTGCGTGGTTGGACGTTTATTGTCTTCCGGGACTCGACCCGCTACAGGTGAGCCACACGCTGTCCTGGGCTGTGATGACAAAAAAAGATCCGCAGACACACCAAGTGTCCTCTGGGGGGCGCTGAGAACCACTGACTTCAAGGACTGAGGGCTGGGGAGAGCATCCTGTTCCTGACCTTTGGAAAGCTATCTTCAGGTATGGGATCTTGACAAGGACCCGAGGAAGTCACTCGGGCTCGGAAGAGCTAGGTCTTCTGAACTTGGGTGCATGGTGTTAGCCAGAAGAAAGATGGAGGCCTGGCAGGACTGCCCCGAAGGGAAGTGGGGAACACCAGAGAGTCCTCACTGTGGCGGCGAGGTCGGTGAGATGTCATTCGTTGAACTGTTGTGTAAGTTTCGGTTATCAGATTACAAGGAGATTTGGTTTCCAGTTTTCTTTTGTCTTTGGCTATGTGGGTAGATTTAGGTAAGCCTGTTTTCTTATTTGTTTTTTTAATTCAACACACATTTATTTGGCCCATTCTGTGTCTATCATTGTATTGAATGGGATGAGTATTTTTTCATCCCCAGGGACTGGTACACAATAGATGCTCAGTAAGTGCTTGTTGAACGTGATCTTGAATTGATTAAGGGGGAAAACTGCCCATGAAAATAAGGTCTTCTTGGAAGCAGGTTCCTTATGGCCTTCAGGCCTGCGGAAATGCTGTTATCACTGTGGCCAGCTCTCTGGTGACGTGAGAAGATCTACTCATACTCGTACTGATGGATCTATCATGAAAACTCAGTGGATTTTTGTTGACTCACTGATTTA